GTGTGCCTTGGCAGTGAAGATATTTGAAGATGCATTTTGTTATGTAAAAAGAGGATGGGACAGATAAGAGTTTACATAAGGAACAAATTGTAAGGGACAGTATAAATAAGAGTAACAATAGGAGCTGAAAACCATTCAAACTAACCATTAAAAAGACTTTCCCGTATACGCCTTAATCCACAAACCATAGCAGAATTCACCATGCTTTTCTTCTATATTATTTGACTTTAATTATACTTGTTCTATGTTTATATAAGAATGAAACAGCTCACATGTTAGGCGGCACTTATCCCAGTTTATATTTTACATTATTTTCCTAAAACAATCTGTCACAATTTCACTGGGGATAGAAACATTTCAGATAACCGTTTTAAATGTTTTGATGTCAGATCCCAATAGAAGCATCCATAAGAAAGAAAACCAACGACCACAATCTTGAGTTAGAAGTGGGTAAGAATGATGAGCATGTAGATATCTGAGCAGTGACTCCTTCCCAGCGGAAAACTGAAGTAAAAACAAGCAGTCTGAGTTGCTCGTGCACCTACACACACTGTATATGGAGTGTATCGTCTTTCATGGAGCGCTTCAACAACTACTGGTCGCTTTGTTCACTTCCTCCTTTGTTGTTCACACACAAAAGAGGCGGGACGACCACAATTCATCTGGGACCAATCACAGGTCAGCAAGTGGTGCTCGCTCAGACTAAATACAGACGAGTGTATGATATGTGTTTAGACACATCGGTGTAAACGATGTGTTTTAATGAAAGATTTGAAGAAAGAGAGGACAATGCACTGGGTTTAGTTACTGAAGGCAGGGACACCAAAAAGCACATTTCTTTATGATTCATGTGGTATTAATGTCAATTGTGAAGATGCATTTGTTGTTTTTAAGAAAAGCCTTCATAAATGTGTGTTATATGAGATACAAGGAATTCAATAATATATATATCCTTTATTTAACCAGGTAAAAGACTCATTGAGAGTGACTTGGCCAAGACGGGCAGCATGAACGAAGTTACAACAGATACAACACAGGCAAGACAGGCAGACAAGTACAGCTGTGAAACACAAATAAAATGGCACATTAGCGAGTGAATATGCGAAGTAAAACAAACTATTAAAAATCATTCAAAACTGGCAACATTTAAAACGATTTTAGGATCTACGAGCACTCACATCTACCAATGGTGTCGTGTTCTCTGTCCTTTAAGATGGACCTGAATTCCCCCATAGTGATTCCATCTGAGAGTTTCAGCTCCTTCTGCACATTGTTCCAAGCTGTGGGGGCAGCATGTTTAAAAGCTGTTTTACCCAGGTTTGTTCTCACTGTAGGAACCAGCATAACGTCATTTTTAAATCAAATCAAAGTTTTATTTATATAGCACATTTTTAAAACGATTTTTGGTCGAGCCAAAATGCTGTACATATAATAATTAAAATGTGATGAACACGTGGTGTAAGTATCCTGCTGTTGAGCCATCATGATGATTTAAAACGATTTTTTTTTTTGCTGTAGAAGGTAATGCAACACAGAAGACATCACATGTTACATGGCACTTCATAACATAAATATATCTACTGTCTTTAAGCACAGACTTTAGGAAGTTATTGGGCACTTATTCCAACTAAATGTGTTGTTTTTACATATTGTCTCTTTAAATGTTCAACTAAACTGTATTTTTAAATACTTGTTGGGAGAATTTCTGGTCAATTTAAAACAAAAGGCAACAAAACTGCCTGATTAGATTTAGTGAAACAACATGAGATGAAAAAACATGTGTGTTTGTTTGCTTGTTGTATCTGTCACAACTTTCCAGAAAATGCCAGATCAATTTCATCTCTGTGTGTTTTATTGAGGGTGTGATTAGCCTAGCTTAGCACAAAGTGAACATCGTCTGGTACGTACACAATCACTTCCTGTTGCCACGGAAATCAGCTAACTGGCAAATCAAAATGAGATGAACAACGAGTAAACAACTCACAGGTCTTACAGCCACTTCAACCCATGCTACACTTTCGATATTTTATGACAAAGAACAATTAAAACATTACAAATTGGTGTCGATTATTAACAAGATAAGATTTCCATTTGAAGTAAAGCAACACCCTAAAAGCAACATTTGGTGGCCAACAAATTAAATATCATCCCCTTATAACCAGGCGGCCTTAAAGGTGTCCAATATCTTTCTACAATATACAATTAAAAAGCAGTTTAATCATATTGCAGACCTCCGTGCTGCTGATCTCAGATCCCAAGATGCCTCGGCTAATTTAACCATTAATCCCTTCATCATAAAACAGATGTGATGACGGCTGAGCTTTTCGCAGGCCACTAAAACCAGAAACACTTTGGAAATGTCACCAAAGATCTCTCTCACTCATGGAGGAAAGAAACTAAGGCTTTATTCATGTTTAATTTAACTCAAAACAACACAATGCTAATGAAATGCTCCGTGTTCAGACACCTCGCAGACACAAGCAACTGAAACGCAAAAATGAATGGAAATGAAATTGCGTGCACACTTTTTTCCTCTCGTTCGTTTGCTCTGCTTTTAATCAACACATTTTTGGAATATTCGGGGCAATTTATGATAATCACCCTCTTCCCTTCTACATGTTTTCTCCTCTAACAAGTTTAAGTAATTAATGAGGCGACATTAAACACACTCAGAAACTACAGTCATGTAAAAATATGGTGAAATTCAGTTTGACTCGGAAAGTTTTTCTCCATCTTCTGCACATTGGATTGTATTTTGATCAGTAATTCTTCTTGAAAAATGTCAGAAAATGCTGTTTTTAGTCTCTTAAATATGAATATTTCTGTTCATTTATATATAAGTGATAGTTTTTAAAGACATCTTCTTGGACTTTGAGAAACTAGGATGGACATTTTCTAGACCAAACAATGTCTGGATGAATCTAAAAATAGTCTGCAGATTAATTAATTAAGAAATTAAATCAATAACAGTATATCCACATTCAAGCACAATATCTGCATGGCTGTGATGCCTACATAATTAATATATAAATGTCTATCTTTTTAAACTTGAATGTATCACGTCTCTGTTTAATTGAGTTATTAATTTAGATTTTCTTATGAATTCTGTTTTTATCGCCTTTCCTGTTTCAAACAACGTCATTTTTCATTATGACTTCTGACTACACACTTAGATCTGAGCCTTTTGGATAAACACTTCAAATGAAAGCGTATTTATGTCAACGCCAAACAAAGAAAAAGTAATTTCCTATAGTATAAAAACACCTTTAGTGTATATAACGAACGCAGCGTGTCTTTCTCTCCCAAATTCTCACACATGAAACCACTTCAAGCGACACGTTCAGAGGCCGCGCCGCCAAGAGACCACACACTCCCTACACACACTTTACAAGCACACATGGAGGCCAAATGTACACACACACAGTCAGTAGCCTCCGACTGTCACACTGAACCCTCTTTTCAGGGTCTAATTAAGGGGGGGGGGGTCTCCTGAGTGTCTTTAAGAGAGCTTCAAGGGAATGTAACTACATTTGAGGTGTTCACTGTAATTAAATTAACTGTGAAGTGGGGATATAAGTGGAGTCTGATGACACCCAAGAGGGTCCATAGGGTCCTCGAGGAGGTTACATTTACAATAAATGGGCTCAATTGGACTATAGGTAGGTTACGAAGAAGTGAGTGGGGTCTGGTGACACATAAAAGTTTGTGAGAAGGGTCAAAATGATCCTGAGAGAGGGGCTTTTTAGAGGCTTAAGGGGATTCAAGGACATCGTGCAAGCTTGTTCGTAAACAAAGAGAAGTACAAACCCTTTTTTTATTTGTCTCACGCATGAAAACAAGGCTTTTATGAGGAGGACACATCATTGATCATGTGTTAGATCTCAAGGATAAACACAATATGGGAATAATAATGGATGTAAACAAAACGTTTGTTTGTTTACAACGAACGACAAGGCAGCTTTGAAGCGTCTTAGCGAGCTACGCAATGAAACTCCACGCACTTAGGTGCTAAGCTAATCAATTAGTAGGACAAATGTTAACAGCTGATTGCAGGGACGGATGCAAAACAATCATATCTACTGTAATACTAAAGGCAGATTAAATTCAACATATTCTTTTATTCTCATGGCCATGGACTTAGGTCATCATGGAAAACACTACAGACTAAACAAATCAAAATATAAATGCTACTTTACAACAGAGGACTCTCTAAATAAATGTTTTTACCATCAGACTTTGCTGTAGTTTTTTATTTGTACTGCTTGTTTACAATAAAACAACAACATCTAATTCACCTATAGATGACACTGTGGGAATAAACACATTTACTGTCATTATCACAATACTTTTTATAGTTTACTAAAACTGCCAGAAGCTAAAATAAACCATTTCCTATAAGGCTATCTCAAAAACAATGCTTAGTCAGATTGTGTGAATAATTACCATAAAACGGCTTAATTGCTTAATTGGTAGTTTGTTTAAACACAGATACAGACCCTACTCGATCTACGCCATTCATACAACACCCAAATAATAATGAGTATATTATTTATTACCCATTATCAAAAGATATACACATTATATGAATGCTGATTAAATCTTTTTGATATTCTGTTAAATGTGTCAACTTTTAGAAGTGTTTCTCCTTCTGCTTTGCTCAGTATAGCATTAGCAGCATTAGGAGATTTCACCAGCAGGACAAACACAGCTGCAGATAATAATAAACATTAATATTAATAATAATAATAATAATAACAACAATGCTCCGTTTGGATCAGCTGTGCCAAATGAACCGCTATTGACGAGATATGCTAATGAGCAGGGATTAAACCGGCGGTGACACAATTAGCCTCGTCGTTACACGGAATAAAGCTAGCATTGTTAGGCTTTATTAATATTATTAGCAGCAGCAGCAGTGTTTCATCGATGACCCCAAGAGGCGGGAGAAGTATTCATAGCTTGTACTTAAGTAAAAGTAGAAGTGTGGGAATAGTCAAAGAGAGTACTAGTAGAAGTTCAAATTAGCATAACATTGAAATACTCAAATAAAGTGCAAGTGAAAAATGTGATCTTAATAAAATTGACTAAATTGAAACCAAATCAAAAACTCTCGGCAAAATAAAATTGACAAATGTAGATTTACTTAAATACCCAATATAAAAAGTGTAACAGATATTGGATAATGCAACCACTTGTGAAGGATTTTAACAATCTTTAAATGCATTTTCTCAAAGAAACGCATTTATTTCAATCACTTCTTACAGTAAGTGACAGCTCTATACATATTATTATAAAGTTAAAGTATGTTTGATGGTGAATAATTGGTTTTATTAAACATTCTGGACTCAGTTCCCACTACTTTACATATATAAAACCAGTTATGTAGCATTAGATCAACCATTATTTGAGTGTATAGTGTTAAAAGCATGACATTTCCTTACGTTCACATGTGCATTTTGACATTTCATTTGCCACGTAAATCGTGTATTGCCGGGCGTTATTTTCTACCATGTTGTTTTTACATTTTGCTTATTGTTTCTGTAGTTTTCACAAGACCTTCTTAAGTATGTACTAGATGTTCACTCACTTTTTAAGAAGTCACTGTGCTTGCTGGGGAATAAACTCCATCCATTGGTGAAGACGAGAGAATCCAGCCTGAGAGAATATGAATTTTCCAACGTATCCCCCTTTTTGTTTTTTCGGCAAAACACCGGCAGAAGGAGCGAGGAGGAATAATGACGAGGAGTGATGAGGACACACTGCTGCTGCTGCTGCTGCTGAGGAGTGAAGAGCAGGAGAATCACACATGTAGAGGGAGGGAGGAGGGAGGAAAGGAGGGAGGAGGGAGGAGGGAGGAGACATGGTTTGGGAGGGAAACCCAAACGCAGATTGACATACGTGAAAACAAATTACATGTATAACCGTCTTCAAACAATAATCAGTGACATTCAAGCGGGGTCAAATCCATCAAAAACACAAATTAAACATTTGCAGCACGTGAGATAAAAAAAGCTTTAATTCTATAAAAGCGAACACTTAATGAATAATGGGATATCCGGATTTAGAAAGGATGATTAATTCCCCAGATGTCGTGATGGCAGAGAACGAGAGAAAATGTATGTTAGAGGTTAATCATAGTAGAAATGTCACGTTAACGACAGCCCCCATTAGTATAATCAAACTATTTTGGATACGAAAAACGTGCCATTTTTAAGAACAATTAACTAAAAAAAAGTGTTTTGTGTTTGCTTTTTAATAACAAATTAAATGAAGTGTCACTAACACCTTAATATATCTAAGTAAAGCCTTGTTTTTTTACAATATTAATATATTTTAACAACTTT